AATACAGACAGTTTTGTGTGTGTTCACCTCTGTCCTCTACGATACAGGAAGTAGTTGCCAATGGAGGAAGACTGGAAAAAGGCTCAGAGGTAAAAACCTTCCCCTCCCACTCAGCCTTGTCCTCCGTCATCACCTTCACCTAAGGCCAAGAGAGAAACAAGAGGTGGAATCAAGAATATGTTAACATTTCAGAGGAAAGACATATACGTGTAAATGCATGGAATTAAGGATAAATACTAAGCTGCAAAAGAAACAAGCAGAAATAGTTAACGATACTTTACATTAATGGACATTAGACATATTAGAGAGAACATGCATCGTCCTTCAGACTAAAAGCCTGAGAGAAGTTCAAGAGAAAATTGTTCTTCACTTTAAAGGAGCAGACAGGAGTTAGTTAGGAAAAGACAGAAAGGTAAGAGGATAAAAGAACTTACAGCGCTAGGCAGGAGCTCTGGGTCCAGACCATAACGGGATTCAGAGTTAGGAGACTGCAGAGAGGAAACGTAAAAGCTCATTCTCACAGCTAAGATGACACACAGGTGATAACAGAGTCAACACGAGCTGATGTTCAACCTATTTTCTGATTCTGAAAGAATAAAGGTTCCTCAGTTTTACAGTAGAGTAAACACACATGAAGAAGTTAGCTTATAATGTTAGAAACTTATAAACAACTTCCTTAAATTTATGGGGTTCTAAAGACTAAGAGATTATTTCGCTATAAATTATCAGAATTATATATATGCATATTTAATATTAGATGTTTCCTCACCTGAGGTGTGAAGCTTTTGACCTGTGCAGCTGCAGTGGGAACAAACTGGTTTATGTTTTCTGGGGAGAAAGGGGAGATCCAGAATAGTAATAAGTGGTCTATTTTTATTCACACTACAGCACATGACATCTGATTAATAATAAATGCACTCACCTCCAGACTGTGCTGGAAGTGTCCACTGAGGCTGCTGTTGGATGGGAGAGGTGGGCGAGGCATGATTGTGAGTAAATACAGCAGATGATCTGGCATTTGCTCCCTCAAATCCAGGCTGAGGTATACACTGTGGACTCTCGTTTCCATATAATGGAGGCCTAATGGGCAAATGATTTTGATGTGGTGACTGAGGTCCATTTACTAAATCCTGCTGTGTGTAGGGATGCTGGAAATGTTGAGCTACAGCTTGGTAAGGGTTGGGAGGGGAATGAAGTGATGTCCATTGGGTGTCACAAGGACGAATGTCTTCATTCATGTTACTTCCTCGGCGTGCAGCTGGAATCGTGGCTGAAACATCAGGAATGACTGGCTGCACACTGTGGTTGGTGTTATTAACATGTAACAAGCTGTTATGAGGATTGTTGTTATTGGGTGAAAATGCAGTGAAGTCTCTCTGGAAGCTGGAGCTGGACATCTGGAGGTGGTTGTAACAGGGAGTGTAATCAGAAGGAGACATCAGGTTGAGATGCTGAAAGCTGGGCAGAGGGTTAAAGGGGTGTCTTGGAGGTGAAGCTGTGGACCAGTCCTTCTGACCCGCCCACGGCTGGCAGGGTGTCTGGCTCTGATTGGCTGAGGGGACGTCCATCATGCTCCATAACCATCACTGATAGGTGTATTTCTCTTTGGAGGCGTTACCT